ATTCACTCCTGTCATAAGGTCATTTACAATGCCCGATTTGAGCAAGAGCATTGTGCAATTTAAGTAATAGAACACAATTAGGGGGTTAAGAATTTGAAATTGAGAATTTTAGCAAAGAGGCCAAGTGTACTAGATAGCTCCAGTTGTTATTTAATGTCTCTTTGCCTTGCAGGGCGTCATTAGCATATTTAATTAAAATAATCCCATAACTTTGCATCTTCTAAACATGCCATACCATGTAACAGGTTATTAACTTAATTAATGCGTCCTAAATGAATTTTATAATATTCTTCGGACTTCAAACTACTGTGACCCGACACTTTGTCATATTCGACCCCTTCCACAGTACTTAACCTTACCTTATCTCTGCCTTTGTATCTGTCTGTTTCCTTTAAATCTGGGAATCATTATTCTGCCCCCTCTCGACCTTTTGTCACTTTGATGTTTCTCCTCCTCTCTGTGAAGCCTGAAGTCAACTTAAGGGCTAATGATAGCTATCAAAACACCTGCCATGAAAGGTGTGAAAAGTAAACGAGCATTTCCGTGAATTTTTAACATTATGGGGAATTCCTTATTCGACCACGAGTTATATTGCTTGACTTGAACTTAATGTACGTGTTGTGTATATGACCTGACACAAATGGTGTTGTATTTCTGCAAGTCATTTCAATTTCATTTGGACAATTTGAACAATATCCAAGTGTTTTTAAAAAAATTTGGGAGGCAAAACACGACTTCGAGATAGTAGGACTTAAAATTTTCGTCAACAATCGCTATTACTTCAGGTCCCATATAATAAACTACTCATGATTTGGTCAATTCAAAAGATAATCGCATATGGAGAATCCAATTAATGATCAAACATCGATAATGCGGTTTATTCCTACTTCTGTTGGCCACCGCGCTAAATGTCAATTTTCCTTCACCTATTGGAAGGAAACTGAGCTTTCATTATTTTATCGTATAAACCATTCCAGTGGTTAATTTTTAGTTAATTGGTACACCAATGAAAGGCACTTTACAAACCATTCTTTGACCTCGAGTTGAATGCTTAAATGAACTCCATTGTAACGGACAAAATTATGCATTAACATATAGAATATCCAGATGATCCAAAGCAATTAGGCAACTATAAATCTGAGAAGGACCCAGTAGAAAACCAAAACATTAAGACCAAACAGAGCCACCGGAACAACTTGGATCGAAGAAAGCCGATCGCCATTTCAACTGGCCAATCACTTCACTTCATTTGCCCATTGAGATCACCTAACGAAATTGAAACTAACTAGATTAGGCTCTTTATTCTGAAGAAAAGCAAATCGGCACAAAAATTCGTTTACGATTTAATAAATCGAAAATGGGGCAAGCATCCACATCAATTGTCTCTAGTATCCCATTATTTCTGATAGGCCACAAAAAAATGCACAACCGACAGGCAATAGAAGGAAATAATTACAGACAAGCTAAACTATACTACTGAAATGACACGTGTATACAATGATAGAAAGATGCAATGGAAAGGACCAAGGCCAAGGAAAGAAGAGATAAGTAAACAAGCAAGAGAGATACAGAGGTGATAAAAGTCGATGACGTAGAAAATATGCACAAGGTGCCAACCCAACAGAGAATCAAAATTACACAGTTAATACCGTTTTGCAAACAATTAGAGGTGTTGGGTATTTTTGAACAAACACAAGCAGACAAGCTTGTACATTTAGTTTATAGGAGGGATCCTTAGAAAAGAAGGGTGCTCATAGAGCCTCCCATTTCATTCTGCTCCCGAACAAACACCTCGTAGTATTGGTAAATGGTTGTCACTGCCATTAATATACCAGTTCCACTACCAATAGCACCTAGGAAGTCGGCACAAACTGATAAAGCGCCGATCCACAAACCACCGAGAGCAGCAGCAGTTGGGATATGGCGATTGAGTTCACGGACCATCGACTCTTCCCGATGACCAGGAATGACAGTCTGTTGCTCCTTCAGTTGCTTAGCAACATCCTTGGCACTGGAATTCGATACATCAATCCAGATTTTGCTGAAGAAAGCACAGCTTCCGAGCATGAAGGCAATGTAAATTATGCCATGTATGGGATCGGATAGCATGTGGGAAAGTGATTCAGGCGCCGTCATGTAATAACAAATCCCGCCAATTGGAGCTGATCTGGAACCTCCTTCACCATCGGACCAAATTCCGAGCAAATTGACCAAAAAGTTGCCACGGAATTTGCTAGACAACATCTAAACGAGAGGACTTGTTAGCGAATTCAAAATGAATATTTACTTGAGAGATGACATAGAGGTTAGAAACCAAAGCGCTTTGCAGCATAATGGGAGCATTGCTAGTATAGAAAAGCTTAATAGGATACGAGGTTATTTGACCGCGATAGCGAATGGATTTAACCGCAATTTCAACACGGAAGCTCTGGAAGTAGATGACAACAGCGAAGACAAGAACGGTAGCCATTAAGTTCATCAAATTAGGAAGGTTTTGGCGGTAGAAAGCTTCTCTTAAAGCGCGAACCTTGTCAGATCTTGTCGCAAGAAGTTGGAATAGAGCAATGACAGCTCCTTCAAATTCAGTTCCTGGAAAAAATATTATACGCATTAAAAATAGTTTACCTCTTCCAGTGTTAATAGTGATTGGGCTAAAGGCCTTCCATATTATAGTCTCGCAGATGTTAGTGGCAATAAACAGAGAAATGCCAGAACCAAGACCATAACCTTTTTGAAGGAGTTCATCCAACATCAAAACGAGAAGGCCAGCAAATGTCAACTGAAGAATAATCAAAAGACAAATACCGGGACCTAACTCGCTTGGAGGACCATAGATACCTGTCATCACATACACCGAGGCTTGGCCGATTGTAATAATCATACCGAACACTAAATTGCCAGTTTATTTAATAAAAGGTCTTACATTTTTGAGCTCCATTGAAGAGAGCACGATCTTTAGGAGCGTCGCCGACTTGAAGAAATTGAATACCCGCTAATACTTGCATAATTAGACCCGAAGTTATGATTGGAGAGATGCCCAGTTCCATGAGAGTACCCTTATTTGAGGCTGATATAACCCGAAGCCAGTAGAGCGGATCAGCAGACTCAGATGACATAATTCCGAAAAGGGGAATTTGACAGCAGAAAAGGAAAATCATCAAAGTTATACCAGTCCATAATGCCCGTTCTCTGAATTGAATCTTTCGCTCAGGCCGAGCAATTTCCGGTAGGATGGCACAGAAAGGCTTAACGATATCCAAAAATCTCACTGAAAATATAAGCTAAATGAGGAAACAACACAACCCACCCATGGTGAAGAAACTCCAACGTATGACTGCTAGGCGTACGCGTGGTGCCCTAAAAGTTACAAATGGCAAGGTAAAACAAAGCTCCATTTAAATTATTTATATCCCTGAAAAAAATTTAAATTTTGTTTAATTTTTGATCATTGTAATATATAAGAATCAATTTTGCACATATGTCAAAGTATCCAGTTATTTATCATAGGTAATTACGTAATTCTGTTTATTAATCATGAAATAAATTCAAAACTCATTTAATATACTGAATGATGTATATTATTTATATTTTTGAATTTGAACGATTTTCGATTATTTTTACATGTTTATATTTTATTTTTGTATTCATTACCAGCTGTTTTTCTCCATGTATTCCTTTGTGTTGTATTAATTTCATATTAAAACATTCTCTTTTTACGATTCCGAAAGCATATTATATTGAAATGTTGCAATGCCATTTGTTATTGAAAACTCGCACGTTTGAACGTATTGTTATTTGGTACAAATCGACTTTCAAGTTTGGCATGCCATGGCTATTTCACATGATTTAAAATAAATGTTCAATATCTAAATAAAATACAATGATCTTTTATGTGTCTGATAATATTTTCTAAAACAGAGAGTGAATTAATTTCGCCAGCGTTATCTTGATCGCCATATAGTTAATTTAAATATTATTCAATTCATTGATGCGCATTCATTGTCCATGATCATTGTTACATTATTATTAATTAATATTACGTTTTTTACTGTTATAATTAGAGTTGGTTACTTATGACACTCTCTTATCTATATATACATATATATAGATTATTAGTAAATGCTCTTTTCTGATTCGAAATAAATGTAAGTCATCAATGCTTATCTGAAATAGTATATCGCTTTCAACAAAATATCCCATTTATACGAGAATGTTGTTGAGGATTAGCTTAACCTCTCACTTTGAAATAAGTATTTTTGGTTAATTGACTGAATTTTCCAGAAAAATATCAAAACAGCAAGGTTTTTTTCAAACTTAATCATAATCAGTAATAAAAATTTTGTTTAAAATATTCTTTAAAAAATTTTATGTATTTTACAAGATATTTTTCTCTCTCTGGATTGATAAATGGTCTATAAGGTTTTGAAATCCCTATATGTGTTGATTTTTTTTCTAAATAAATATATCCTAATTTTTTTAAAGTTACGGTTTGTCAAAATTAACTTTTTTGACATCACACTACATTTGTGGATCATTTTCCAAAATAAACAAATCAACTCCAGAAGATTCATTTAGCTTTTAGCTCTTTGCGATTTTGAGGGATTGTGGGGTGCGCGATAGACTTACCTAAACATGGAGCACCCTGGGCAACGTATACGCATACGGCAAAAAAGTCTATTAACAGGCAGTTGACTTCTGCCTTCAAACTATCATGGCCCGACTGGATGTCATATTCGACCCCTTCCACAGTACTTATCTTACCTATTTTCTGCCTTTGTATCTATCTGTCTCCTTTAAATCTGGGAATCATTATTCTGTCTCCCTCTCGTATTTTTGTCACCTTGATGTTTCTCATCCTCTCCATGAAGCCCGAAATCAGCTAAAGGGCTAATGATAACTATCAAATAGCCCGAAATCAGCTAAAGGGCTAATGATAACTATCAAAATAAATGTGTGATCGTTAATTTGGAGATATGAGTTCCCGAAAAACAATAATCCTGCAGGATTTTACACCGTCCACATAAGATGACGGTTCCACCTGTTTGCTGTCTCAGAACATGAAGTCTATAGACCACTTAAACCGCCTGCTTGTCTTGCTTCTTCATGATGGATCACGAATGCTCGAGGCAGATCTTCCTCACTCAGTTGAGAGGGGGTCGTCTCAATCTTCGTGACTCTTCTCAATAGCCTACTCCAATGCGGCTGTTGTCGGTTCTTGACGAATCGATGCTGATTTATGTGAGTAGAATGGTGTCCCGCAAGAAAAAAACTCAATTTAACATTGATCAATTGCAAATTGTGGAGGAGAATTCGTCCTTATGAGGGATGTTTCAACCAAATCTTGCGATTTAGAAGGCAATTACCCTGTATTCTAACTTTTGAAAATAAATCCTTTAATTTCAATTTAAATGCGTTTCGGATTCAGAATGTTCAAAATTTGCCAAATGGGTGATCACCTAACAGAATTTGAATTTTAGAACAGTAAGATAATGAAATTAATTGATATTCTGTCAAACAAATGAGAAAGAGGTGTGGAACAACTAGATTCTAAGGGAAAACTCAAGTGTCAAGGTGTCATACTTTACCTGATGTTTTGAAAACGGATTGAAAAACATTTGTCGAATTGGTATCACATGTTCCTTAACTCCTATTTACCTTTCTATTTTTTTAAAGATTGAGGATTCAAAACCATCTCACATTAATTTTTACAACTGTCAGTCTAACAGCAGAGGGAATGAGATTATGAAAGATGTTAACCTTGCAGAGCTCTAGAAGTGCCGATTTCTTTAACCAGTTGCGCATAAGTGAGAATATGTTTTCCTATGACCAGAATAATTTCAATACCAACAACACAACCTGTCCACATTGATAAATTTAAAGCAGAAAGAAAGTATCTCAACTGGAATCGCTGAGGAAAAAAAGTTTTATTAAGTAAAGAGTCAAATTGAATTAATAGGTACCGAAATGGCACTAGATTTCAGTGCCATAATATGGACTTTGGAAAATATTGATAAATTGTAAGCTTCACCGAAATATCACTCCGCATAAGAATTAAGACATTAGATATTTACTCAAGGGAATTATTATATGTACTAATTTTTAATAATTTTAGCATGTGCTACTGATTTACCTTTAGTAACTTAATTAACCTTCAATGGGGTGTGCGATAGACTTACCTCCACGTGGTGCACCCTGGGCAACGTATACTCATAGGGCAAAAAGGTCTATTAACCCTCAGTTGACTTCTCACTTTAAACTACCCTCTAAGCGGCAGTTGACTTCTCACTTCAAACTACCATCACCCGCACTGGCAGTTGACTTCTCACTTCAAACTACCATCACCCCTCACTGGCAGTTGCTTTCTGACTTCAAACTACCATCACCCCACCGTAAACCGGCAGTTGACTTCTGACTTCAAACTACTATGGTCCGACTATAGTTGACTTCTGACTTCAAACTATCATCACCCCACTGCACTGGTCCATATTCGACTACTTCCACAGTACTCACCTCATCTTTTTCACTCTACCTTTGTGTCTCCATATTCGACTACTTCCACAGTACTCACCTCACCTTTTTATATTCGACTACTTTCACAGTACTCACCTCACCTTTTTCCACTTTTGTGTCTGTCTCTGAAATGTTCTTTTGTCCCTCCCCCCCCTCTCGACTTTTTTTCACTTTGATGTTCATTCCAATCTGTGGGGCCAGCAGTCAACTAAAGGGCTAATGATAACTATCAAAACGCCTGCCATTTGAAATAAATAAATAAAATAAATAAATTAAACAAATTCAATTATTGGAGTCCTTCATCACTTGTAGGGCACAATATAGTAAAATTGTAGTTAATCTTTCGAGGAAAACTATGTTGAAAATAACCTTTAGAGTAACTTTTAGAGAAGATATTTGGCGAATTAGGAGTGTCAAATGACTATACAGTCACATCTAATACGTTGCAAGAAAGAAAGTGGGTGAGTATGACGAATGCTTCAAGAATTTTACTCGCAAGATAACTTGATAATTTGAGGAATAGTCATTCAGTGAGTTTGGATGACCACGATGGCGTATACGGGGGTTTAAATTTTCAAACTGCAGTCATTGCAGTTTTACTTAAAAACGCCAGTACAAGCATATACATAAAATATATATATTTGAAAGCAGCACAAGCATGATGCTATGGTGAAAGACAGCAATGAAACCCAGACAATCAACCAGTTGTTAATATTGCCTACAATACATGTGAGTTGGAGGTAAGAAACCAGCTGTATGACCGAGTCTAGAAAAGGTTGATCTTGATATTTTGGTTGCATATGCTTCCAATTATGAAATATATTGAAGTAGCTGGAAAACAATCGAAATAGTGAATTTGTTGTTGTCTGCCCTATTAATCATGCAAACAGGTTAAAAGCAATTAGATATCAGAAGGGGTTTATCAGCACAATGGTACAGGGATGATAAGCTATACTTGTAAGCATTTGCTTGGAAAACGAAATATCTTTCACAAATGGTTTAGAATTCTTCTCTCCAAAATTATTATTTCAACAGTTTTGTTGGCTTTTAATGAACCTCAAAAAATCTTTTAACATCCCGCGTACATTTTTTCACTACCGAAGTGTAATACTGGGGTGCTCCGTGTCTGCCCGCATTATAAGCGCTTTTCAAATCAAGGCAAGTTGAATTTATTTTTGCCTCACACTCTACACCCTCCACCCCCC